ATTTCCTGGGACTGGATCTTTGAGTGCCTCTGTAGGTTTGGAAAGTTTTCTTGCAGGATTTCACGGAATAGATTATCAATACCCTTATGAGTCTCTTCTCTTCCGGGATGCCTTTATCCAGATGTTTGGACGTTCGATGGTATCTGGTACTTCTCGTATATTAGTCTCATTTTTGGGGGCCATTTTCTGTCTTCGTGGTGCATTTTCCTAGGTCAGTAATTTTCTGCGTCTGAGATTCTGTTTTCTGTATGATCTAGTTTGCTTTTAATACTTTTTTTTAAAAGAATTTTCTTTATTTAATTGTATTTATTCATTCATTTATTTTAATTTGACCAGACACACACGCACGCACACACACACACACACACACACACACACACACAGAGACAGAGAGAGGGAAAGTGAGAAAGCCAGCCACCAGGTCCTGGACTTGAATCTTGGTCGGCCATGTGGGAGTGTCCAGTGCCTTAACCACCACGCCACCTACTGGTGCCCTGCTTTTAATACTTTGAAGGGAGATTCTGACTTCCTGTATTATAGCCTTCATCTCTAACAGGTCCCTTTGATTCCTTTGTAAAGTGTGTAATTCCTCTTTTAGATCTTGCAAGAATTTCCTCACCTCCTGGAACTCATCAGCTCCTTTCTCCTGTCTCTTCTGCAGTTCATTGTCTCTCTTCTCTTCCATCTCTGTTAGCTTCGCCATTATGAATGCTCTAAATTCCTTACCAGACATTTCCATGATTCCCATTGACCTGTCTGTGGATGAAGAGAAGTACTCTTCTCCCTCAGAGGAGAGGTATTTTCTTGTTTTCTCATATTCCTTGTGGCCCTGTGGTGATTTCTAGTCATGTGACGGATGGTGTGTTTCTTCCTAAGCTTGAAATTCAATCTGAGCGTTCAGGAGCGCGCAGAAGGAGGCGATCTGGAATCTTTTTGCCGTTCCGTTTTGATCCCTTTGTGCCGAGATTCAGTGGATAACCCTAATAGACTAGACTCCAAGGACGAGTCTTCTGAAGGCCTGTTCCTTGCCTCTCCACTCGAGTTTGTGGGCTGGAGGCTGAATTATCAGTAGAAAAATATTCATTTCTGAATTTTCCCTGAAGTCAGTAGTTCTCAGGAGCCACGGAGGAATCTTCTTAGCAGGCTCTGGCTCTTCCTCATGCTCATTAAGCAGGTCCTTTTCCTGTGGCATGTTCCACCTTCTCATGCCTTCCTTTAAAGTGGCCCGTGAGTTTCGTGCTGGTCTGCCGTGTACCCTGAGTGTGGGAAGCTGTGCAGTGCCTCGCGAGGAGGGACCGGCTCGAGGACCTCACCTGGGCATGCGTGCACGGTCGTGCTGCCGCAGGGGTGGGACGGCAGTGCTCCGCAACATGTGGGCCATCGAAAGGGGGTATTGCGACAAGAGCGCATGGACTCCAACTTTCTTGCACCACCACAAACTCATACTTTAATTCCACTTTTCACAGGCTTTGCAAGTCCCCACATGTATATTCGGTAAAGTGTCTCCTACCAGAAGCATGGGATCAGGTGTTGGTCTGGGACTCATGGGAACCCGATTTCTTCTTCCCAGGAGCAGCGATCGTGTTCAGAAATTGTGGTGACGGCACAGGACATACCCACCTCGACTGCTAGGGCTCACCACAAGTGCACGTTTTCCATTTTCACCTTTCTTAATTTTATTCGCTAATGTTTTACTTTTACAAATGTATTCTGTTTTTTTTTTTTTTTTTAAGGTTTTTGCTATAGGGACCTTGTGCTCGCCAAAAGGGCACTTGTGCTCGCCAGAAAGAGAGACAGAAAGCGAGAAATCACCCCCCGGGTGGTGCGCCCTGCCGCAATCCCCTCTCCTCCACTCTCCTCTCGGGATCTTGGGCACACACGCACACGCGCCTGGCGTGAGTTTTAAGCTACCAGGTCCGGGACCGAACCGTGGTCGGCCACGTGGGAGTCCAGCGATCTCACCACTGTGCATCTGGCCCCACAGTCTTTGTTTTAATAGTGTTCAGTAGTTCATCGACAGTTTTTGCATTTTTCTTCTTTTTAGCTTTACTGTAGGGCACGTACACTGGCCTGTGAAAGACAGAGCAGGTGAGGAGTCACCCTGGGAGGGTGGCCACCTTGCGGTCCCATCCCCATCCGCCTCTGGGCTCTCTGGGCGTGCCCGTGTGCCGGCCTGATTTTCAAGCAGCTGGGTCCAGGACGCGAATGGTGGTCAGCCACGTGGGCTCCGACACGTTAACCACCAGGCCATGGGCAGCCCTGCGTTCATTGCTTTAAGGGTGCTTCCAGGTTTCGGGGTTCGCCCTGTTGCTCTGGCCTTTCAGAAGGCCAGGCCTGTTCTCCCCGGCAGCCTGACTGGCGCCTGCTCACACAGACCCGTGGGCTGCTTCGTGTCTGTGTCCGTCTCGTGGCTCGTTGGCTGGTGTCAGTCGCAGAGAGCTCCTGACTGTTAGCTCCTCAGACTCTTGTTTCCTGAAGCTTTTTGCCTTTGTGTGTGTGCACTTCAGAGAGAGGGAGAGTGAGGAGTCCCCCGGAGGAGGGGCCACGACGCGTCCCCTTCCCCGGTGTCCTCCCAGGGCTCTGGACAGGCACGTGTACAGCAAGGTCTCCAGGCCGCTGGGTCTGGGACTCCGACTGTGGACCCAGCACCGCAACTGCACACCACCTGCTGGCCCGTGTTGTTGTTTGCTTCTTTAGGTTCTGGTCATAAGGCATGTGTGCTCGCCAGAGAGGAAGTGAGAACTCGCCCCCAGGGGGTGACGGTGTTGCAAGTCCTTCCCTCCACTCGCCTCTCGGGATTTGGGTGTGCACGCACCAGGCCGCCGGGTCTGGGACTCAGACCACAGCTGGCCATGTGGGAGTCCGAGACCCTGACCCACGCCCCCCCCTGGCCCGCCAGCTTGGCTTCTGATTGGTTTCTTTCCTGCCATCTCTGCCCTGCGCTGTGTCCAGGCGGGCATTGGAGCGGTGCGTCAGTTCAGATGGGGCACCTCCCAGCCAGGGTTCCGAAGTCCTCCAGCTTTCTTCCATTTTTCTTTTTCTTCTGTGCTCCTTAACATATTGATCTTCATCATTTAAAAATATTTTTCTGGCTTTGCCATAGGGCACATGCACTTGCCAGAGAGAGAGAGAGAGAGATTCCCCCGTGGGGGACAGCCATGCAGCAATCCCTTCTCCATTCTCCTCTTGGAATTTTGGGCATGCACACATGTGCACCCACCTGCTGGCCTCCGGTCACCACTGTTTTAAAGTCTGCCCAGCTATCTGGGTTTGCTCACGGCGTCTAACGCTGTCCCCGTTCCTCCCTGTCATGGCTGGGCTGTGCAGGGTGGTGGTCTGCTCACGGCGTCTAACGCTGTCCCCGTGGTCCTGGAGGAGGTCCCGCTCAGACTCCTTGGTCTAGGCCAGGGCTCTAGCGGGGGCTGGGGAGGTGGCCAGAGATAGTCACTTGGTCTGCACGTGGTGTCCGTGGGCACATGGGGCTGCTTGGTCTGCTCGCCCTATCCGTGGGGCTGCAGGCACTGTGGCCACTGCTCAGAAGCGTCCACATCTACCAGGGTCTGCTCCCAGCAGCCCAGACTTCCAGCGTGGAGTGTGTCTGAGTGTGCTCTTCACTTCCAAGGTGTTGAATTTTCAGCATGCTGGCCTTCGGCCCTTCTCCTCCAGCCCTGGGCCCCCTGCCCTGCCCCAGCCGTGGCACCCACACCATGCTGCAAGCGGTTGTGTCCAGCGTCCATTTCTTTCCTCCTCTCCTTGGTGCGTTTGCCACCCCTGCCCATCACTACAGGGTAGGACACTTCCTTGGCCGCACGCTCTGGCCATGTCGGCGAGGCCTGTGGTTACGGTGCAGCAGCTGTGGGAGCATTTACCCAAGAACCCTAGGTGTCTGCTGCCTCTGTCTGGAGCCCAAGCTCCCCTCGCTGCTCCTGTGGCCCGAATCATGGCTGTGTGCCTAAGGCCCACTGCACTGAACCTCTTCCTTCCTGCCTGCGGCCCGCGCTGTCTCCGTCTCCTCCTGGCTGGCCTCAACCTCCGACCTCGCTTGGCATCTCCTGCTTGCTGATCCTGGAGCAGGATGGAGGTGGTGGGCCCGACACAGTGCAGGCGTCGGGGCCGAGGTGGCAGGGGCCTGTGCTTGCGTCCGCCTGGAGCAGGTGCCACCTGGTGACCCTGGCCCGTTCTTGCACACAGTGTATGAGAGCGAAGACCAGCTGCTCTGGGACCCCAGCGTCCTCCCCGAGAGGGAGGTGGAGGAGTTCCTATACCGGGCCGTAAAGCGGAGGTGGCACGAGATGGCCGGGTCTCAGCTCCCGGAGGGAGAGGCTGTGAAAGACAGTGAGCAGGTGGGCTGCTAGGTGGGCACGGCCTTGCCCAGGCCCAGGCGTGGCACAGTGGGCTGGGCACACGCGAGGGCATGGTGGTGGGACCGAGCACCTGGGGACCGCCAAGGCGGGGTGGAAACCATTCATCCAACAGTGTGGCGTAGACGCCCCGCTCTCTCTCTCTCCCCAGGGTGGTGTAGACTCCCGGCTTGGCCCTCTGGCCCTGGCCGGGGGCGGGGCGGGGTAGATGGCCTGCTATTACCTCCGCCCCCAGGGCATAGAAGGCCTGCTCTCTCCCCCAGGGCGTAGCTGCCCCCTGGGGAGATTGGGTGGGAGCTGTGCGTGTCCCTGCAGGCGCTGTACGAACTGGTGAAGTGCAGCTTCGATGTGGAGGAGGCCCTGCGCAGGCTGCGGTTCAACGTGAAAGTGACTCGAGGTGAGGAGCCGGACGAGGCGCCATGTGCCCTGGGCCGGTGTCCTGCCCCGCCTGCACCCCAGCCCCGCCTGCACCCCAGCCCCTCGTCCCTGCCTGCCCTGGGCCCTGCTGAGGCCTGACTTCCTGTTCGCAGACGGGCTCTGTGCTTGGAGTGAGGAGGAGTGCAGGAATTTCGAGCACGGCTTCCGTGTGCACGGGAAGAACTTCCACCTGATTCAGGCCAACAAGGTGAGGGTGTGCCGCCCCTCAGCCAGGTCGGGGCCCCCTGCCTGCCTGCCTCCCTGCTGTGTCTGCCCTTTCCAGTCCCGAAATAGCAGAGATGCCATTTGTGCCCTGGCGCCGTGCCGCAGCTCCAGCTGCAGCCCTCAGTCTTCCCTCCGATGGCTCCAGGCGTGCAGCTGACCTGCACCAGGGATGCCGCTGACCCTCGCACAGCCCAGTGCTGTGGATCCCAAGGTCTACCGGTCCTCGCAGCCCCTCCCCGCTCCCGCCCCACCCCCACCTGCACC